GGAGAATGACATGGGGCATGACGAATGACCTACCCAGCGTGGAATGTGGCACTGTTGTTGGCATTAAGGGAAATGCCTGGGAAGAGAGGCTGTCACCCTTAGAGGGTAGAGAACATTCCCCTGAGTGACCCAGATGCCCTGTGAGTAATACGTTGTGGTTAGGGTGGAGGCCTCTGGTAGAACAGGCTTTGTTCAGAGTATTCCTTTCCCATAAGAAGACGTGTAGAAAGCACAGAGGTTGGACCAAATATGGAAACACCCTATAATCTTGGAGGAATTCCTGATAGCCTAGTAACTTTTTATTCATCCCTTCTTTTTAAAATTAGACCACAGAATGCTATAGAATCTGACCTTTCTCTTGTCATTTGAGTTGAAGGTCCATGGACATGGAAGGTACATTTCTGAACTTAAGAGTTGAAGGAAGAAGAGTAAGCCTGTTCCTTTACTTCTACCTCTCTCAATTCTGTTTTGTTGGAAAGGTGAGCAAGGCCAGGGTGATGTTCTCTTACCACCAAGCTTAGGGGAGGCAGCTGTGAGAGCATCTGTGAGCTTTGCAGAGAGGTTTGTGCAAGGGCCCCGCATGGGTATGTGAGTCTGTGGTTCAAGAGAGGATAGTTTTGTGTGGTGCCTTCTGTCATTAGAGAGTTTGCACTGTAAGCTGGAGGGAATTCTTATGGATTTTCAGACTTGAAGTAGCCCAGAAATGACTCAGATGACAAGCTTGCATCTTGCGAGCTGGGTGAGAGTGGTGGGATTGAGAATCAGTGAGAAGAAATGGGCCCTTCTTTCCCTTCAGTTACTTGGTAAAAGGTTCAGATGCATTTAGTTCTCATTTCTCGTAATGACTCACTTTTCTTGAGAATACAGATAGAAACCGGTTAGAAGTTCATTTTTTCTTTGTCTTTTTGGACATAGGTGAAAATCGGTTAACACACAAGGTTGAGTGCACCCAGTGGTCCCGGCTGGCCTGTGGCAAGCGACCACTCAGAGTTGGGGGGACCTTTGGTTTCCTCCGCAGAATGGATGGTTAGGACCTGAGGCATATGGAGGGGGGGCGGATCCTTCACTGAGCACAGGATGGAGATGGTTGGGCTGTGGTAGAACCAGGTTACTTTCAAAATAGTGTTCCACAATATGGCTTCTCTCAGAGAAGAGTGTGAAAACTCCATCATCAACCAAGGCAGTACCCGGAAAGGTGCAAAAACGTCCCCAGCTGTCTTCCTTCCCTCTGTCACAGTGGAGGCTGATGTTCTTAAATGGCCATGTGCGGTGAGACCTTATGGTAAGACAGGACCAGACTGGGGAGATGCGAGTGTGCGCGGTAAGGAAGAAGGAGGTGGATGGAATTTCCATTTTGATCCAAATACTTCGCAGTTGCATAATGTGGCGGTGGCGGTGGTGGGAGGCTGTGGTCTAAAGAGGGATAGAACGTGAGTTCATAAAATGTTGGACTTTTGCTCCAGAAACCAGTTGGGATTCTGTTTCCACATTGGCCACTCTGTGGACTGTGCCCTAGAGAGTTTGCTGGCAGCCACATCTCTTGAATGCACTCAGATTCTCCACCATTCCCTTTTTCTTGGAATTTGGAGACGCCTCCCCATTGCCTCCTTCTATATAATTCTATAGAATTAGTGTTCTGCAGCATATGAGCAATAATTAAAGATAACAAGCAAACTGCTGGGCCCTGTTGAACTTCCAGGGCTGTGAAATTGTTCCCTTTCTCTCTTCTGACCTTTGTGCTTTGCCCAGGTCTCTCTGCCAGTGGGGTAAGACCTTTGTCCTTGTCCTGTGTGTGGAATCACTTGGCTACCACGTTCCTCTCTGGGAACCTGTGTGGGGCACCGAGTTAGTGGGTCAGCTATAGGGCAGTGTCCGTACTCTGAGGACTGGACAGGATAGGCCACCTGTGTCTCTGAAGGCTGGGAAATGGGTGACGACAGAGGGGTTCTGAGAAAAAGCTGGTGATAACTTCTGGAAGTTTCTTTCACTGGGAGATAAATAGCAAGTAAGGAAGGAGGAAAATCAGGTCACCTGGGTTAGCAAGTTGTAAATGAGTAGATGGCTGAGACTGGGTCTAGAGTTTTGCCCAGTCTGTCCTTGCCTGATGGCCTTGCTGTCAGAGGACATCACAGTAGTCAGTAACAAGTGGGACTTAGCTCAGAGAGAAGAGCAGGAGCCCTCTGAGGAGCACCTTGGAGGCCAGGCAAAAAGATATTAGTAAGGCTTTTGAATAATAAAATTGTCTTGGTGCTGCCTGTAGCTCAGTGAGTAGGGCGTCAGCCACATACACCGAGGGTGGTGGGTTTGAACTCTGTCTGGGCGAGCTGAAACAACAATGACAACTGCAGCAATAAAAAAAAAAAAGTTGGGCATTGTGCCAGGTGCCTGTAGTCCCAGCTACTGGGGAGGCAGGCAAGAGAATTGCTTAAGCCCAAGAGTTTGAGGTTGCTGTGAGCTGTGACACCACGGCACTCTACTGAGAGTAACATCGTGAGACTCTGTCTCAAAAAGTAAATAAAATAAAATTGTCTCCATGCAAAATATTATCACTGACATCACTTCCCAGGTGAGCAAAGGCAAAGAGATTGGCATAGCATGACTTGTGCAAAGTCTTAGCAAGGGCATGGCTGAGTCGGGTTGAGGACCCGGGTTTTCTGAATGCTTGCTGGGTATTTTTTCCCCATTTCTGCTACCGCTGTGGTAAAAGAACCAGCACTCCCTGCCTTTCGCATCAAGCCAGTCCAGTTGGCAAAAAAAACCCAAAACCTAAACCAAAAACCAAACCCCATTTCCACCAATTGCTAGGCAAATCCATTCACATCTGGAGAAAGACAATGGTATTGCCCAAAGAGTGTCTTATCAGGGTGAGGAATTGAAACTGGAGCCTTCAGGGAGAAGAGATGAGAGACCAAGAGGGGAGTTCAGCCTGGAGTGGATTCTAAACTCTGCAAACTGGTCACTCCAGAGTTCTTTGGGAAAATAAGTGCACATGGGACTTTGTCCTCCTGTTCCCCCCGGCAGGGGGTACCCCGGGCGCTAACAAATCACCAAGGAAGAAAAAGATGAAAAGAAACCCAACTGAAATCCTTGCGTTGCCGTCCATGAGACCTTACCAGGATTGTGTGGAGAAGTTCGTCCCCTGAACCATTTGTGATTTGAGCTTTGTCACTTTATAGAGCATCTCTTAGAAAAGGAAATAGCGATCATGCCCGGGCAGGCGATAGGCCCACTGTGCTATCCTATGTGTGTGCACAAGCGTGCATTCACTTGCACACTTAATGCAGTCACATACCTAGGTATATACTGAAAATTAATGCTGTGCCCAAAATGCTATTAAGATGTGTCCCTGTGCCTAGCATTGCGACATATATTTAGAGTCAAGAATGTTCAGTTAAAATGTTCTATACTGTTAATATTTCTCAATTTGGGTAGATCAGTCATGGCTAGGAGTGAAAGAACGTGGAGTGGGGGTGGGGCGCCCTGCAGTGTCATGGAGGAGGGGGTGTGTGTGTGTGTTTGTGATTGAGAAATCATTTGTCTTTGGCAAGGGAGTAAAGGGAAAGCAAGCAAACACAACAATGGGATTGAGAAAGAGTTCTGCAGAGAGAACTGTGTGTGATATCGACCGGCCATATGCTGTCCTCATGCCGCGGGGGTCTGCAGAGTGTGGGGCTAGGGAGGCTCACCTGGGTTTGGCACATGGCTGGGTTCTTAGTTTGGGGCTTGGAAGGTGGTGGCAGTGGATGGCCCAGTTTTGTCATCATGATCTGGGTGCTGCTGGCGTGAGCGTGTACTATTCCCTCCCCCACCTGCAGTTTATCTGATGCTGTACCAGCTTTCCAGCCTTTCACCCTGGTCTTAACACATCAGCATTCTGGTGCGATAGGTTGTTGGCTCTTAGAGGGCTTCTTATTCCCTCCCGCCTGCCCCCACCACCCACAGATTCTCCCTGTGGCTGCCACAGCCTGCCCTGCTTCTTAGGGCCAAGTCCATGGGAAGGTTCTAGGGAAGGAGCAGAGACTGGGGCAGAGGTGGTAGCTGGATCCTGAACCTGACAAAGACACGTCGGGACCTGACAGCAGGAGCGTGGATCGGCGGGCGATCCCTGCCCAGTGCTCAGCTCCCTCTGGCCCGCCCTATTCCCTGCGTCTTACCAGCAACCTTGCTGTCCAGTGACTGAGCCAGGGGTCTGGTGGGAAAGGTCCTGGGTTGGAGCTAGGATCAGAACACTCTTGCAGGCTAGGCCTGTGACCAGTTCTCACCAGGTCTTCCCAAGTGATGACACATGCCCAACCCACCTCCCAAAATGATGGCAAAGATAACATGTGTGAAAATACTCTGGAGAGCCAGACAGGGCTGTCCCAACCTATGTTTATGGAATGATGTTATCTGCTTTCTTGACACTGTCTTTCTGCCCAGGCAAGACCTGAAGGGAAGCCATTTCTTTAGGAGGCCTTAAGAGAGGTGTGTTGGGAGTCACTGGAGAACATCTGGGTGCCAGGGAGAAACGCATCTCATGTCCATAAAGGCACCAGTTCATTCATAAACTTATTTGCATCCTCTTCTGTGCCAGTCACCGTAGCAGGAGTTGGAGACTGGGGAGAGAAGAGACACAGGTGCAGCCCTCCTGCATGGAATAGGCATGTTAGACTTAGCAGTGCTGTCACCAAGGTGAACAGAGGTGGGGGGCCTCTGCATATGGTCTGTGCTAATGAGACAGTGAGCATCACGTCTGTCTGACCTGGATGCTTCTGTCCTTCCTTCCACTTGCCAGTGGTGAGCAGTAGGCAGTGCCCTGTTTAGTCCGTGCACAAGACCAGGTAATGGGGCCTCATTGGCAGCTGTCCCCGGCTTAGGGGGCGCTTTAGATTGCCTGGAGACCCGGGGCTGTGTCTCTGTCATTGCCCTCTCGCCCTGCCAGAGGATGGCTGCAGCCCCCCAGGCAGGGTGCCTCCTGTCCAGCAGAGCAGTAGCAAACTCTGTTTCCCTCTCCCCTACAGGAAACTGCACAGTGGGATGAAGACATACGGATGTGAGCTCTGCGGGAAGCGGTTCCTGGATAGTTTGCGGCTGAGAATGCACTTACTGGCTCACTCAGGTAGGTGAGGACACCTTGATGCCCCATTTAGGCACAGGCAGCCACCGCCTGCCAGCCATTACCCCCAACTCAGAACCTGTTGGGGCCTTGGTGCACCTGGTCTGGCGGGTCCTACCTCCAGGTTCAGGGAGCGGGAGATCCATCCTGGCTGTGAGACCCCTTGGATAAACCCACCCCGGGGCCCTCCTGGCTTTCCTACGGCGTTGTTAGTGCCTAGCGCCCTGTGTGATCCACCTTCCAAAGTAGACTACAGTTTCATTAGCAAAACAGTTGTGGAATTAGGTTCTCACTGTCTAATGAATCTGACTATTGGGTTCACATTATACAGGAGCCTTTAATTAAATAGATATAGAAAGGTTGGAGCACAAAGCTAGTTATAGCGTGCTGTCTTTTGCAAGTTAATTTTATCCAATTCTAGAGAGGTCGGCTGCGTGGCTGCTGGTAATTTTGCTGGTGTTTGGGCAGAGCTGCTTTGCCCCCCGGGATGTGCAAGGGGGAGAAGCCCCTGGCGCTCGCCCTGCCCGGGTGTTCTGGAGAAGGACCCAGCAGGTGTGATGATGCAGCTGTGAGGCTGCGAGGCTGCCTGCCTTGGGTTAGAGAGGCCTCAACACTTCCCTGCCAAGGGCGTGCTCTCTCCCCTCCAATTCCTTTATTTTTGACCTGGGAGTCCCTTTTTAGGGGAGAGGAGAGAGCCCTGGTCTTACTGGGCTTTGCTCTCCTCCCATACAGTCTGCCTCGCATTTCCCCATATTGCCTCAAGCAACTGCACCTCCAAGCAATTTAGCATTTGTGAAATGAGCCTGGGTTTTAGGGTTGGGCCGATGGAGGTTCAAACCCTGTTTGTGCTATGTGACCTTGGCCACATTTATCTTGTGAATCCCAGTTTCTGTATCTGATAAGCATAGGTGTTGCAACTCATGTGATTTTTCCCCCCTTTTTTTTTGAGACAGAGTCTCACTATGTTGCCCTCAGTAGCATCACAGCTCACAGCAACCTCAAACTCTTGGGCTTAAGCAATTCTCTTGCCTCAGCCTCCCAAGTAGCTGGAACTACAGGCACGCGCCACAACGCCTGGCTATTTTTTTTTTTTTTTGTCATTGTTTTTGTAGTTGTTTGGCAGGCCTGGGCCGGGTTTCAACCCGTCAGCCCCTGTGTATGTGGCTGGCGCCCTAGAATCTGAACTACAGGCGCTGAGCCCATATGATTTTTTTTGATGATTAGTAGATGTAATCTATGATGAAGGCTTCTGTAGCAAGCCTCTGACATACAGTTGGCGTTTAATAAGCGTCAGTGGTTTCTGCTTGCACCTTCCTTCCTTTTCTGCATTTCCCAGGCTGTTGACCCCATATAGCTCCCTTACTTTGCCCCAGAAGCTTTCTGCTTGACTGGATGTTTGCTTCTGGTCTCCCCCCGACCCCCCACAGCCCATCTTGTGTGCAGTTGTGGAAATGCTTTGGTGGCTTTCTGTGCTTCAGCTTGTCACTGCCTTGCTGCAGGGCCTGTGTGGCTGCACTGTGTTGACATAGCCACTCTCTGTGGCCCGCGTAGCCCTTCCTAAAGTACCAGCATTCCCGTCTCACTGCCTCTTTCCTCTTCCAGATCCAGGGATCTACCCCGGTTAGGCAGCTGTCTGTCTCAGTGTGCTGCTCTGTCCCCATGTCTCCATGGGTCCCCTTTCTCCTTCCTTTGAGGCCGTCCCACCCCTAGTCTCATCCTGCTCACCTATGTCACCTTGGCCATGAGTCCCGAGCCCAGGCGTGGCTGTGTTCAGTGTCCACTTGGCACTTGTGTACGCTTTTTCTTCGGTTTTAACACTTCTCTTTAGCTTTATAGGTTGTTTCAAGTTTTAGTGAACTGTCTGTCCCCCAGGTTGTCCATCCTTCTACCCCAAGAGCAAAATGTGGGGCTTCCATTTGCATGCTGGCCCAGATACCTGTGTGGCGCTGGACATTTACCATGAGGGTGCTGCACTTTGCAGTGAGTTGTGTGGGCCCTACCCTCTCTCTGACTCAGTGGCGGTAGCGCCCTTCTTCTTAACCTTCCCCTGAGGCCAGAGCTCTGGTCAGACTTTGCTTCATGTGCTGATTCTTTCGGAGCCATGTGGCTTTGTTCATCCGTTCTGTCTGCTTGGAATAACTCTTCTCCCCTCTTCCCAGATCTTCCGAGGTCTCTTCCACGATGCCACCCTCACCTGTTCTTCACCTCCAATTGGAGCAGTCATGCCATCCTCTGGGCCCATATTTCTTTGTTCAAAGCTGTCTTTGGATGCAATCTTTCACCCGTATCATGTTTATTTGTGGACTTTCCTAATCTCCGCTTGGAAGGCAGGATGACACAATGGGAGGAATTTGGGCACCCACCTCCTGATGGTGTGACCTTGGAAAAGAAACATATGCTCTTGGTATCCTTTATTTTCACAATGAAAACATTTAATCCTACCTCAGAGAAGTTGTGAGGCTCACGCCAGATACTTAGAACCATGCCTGACACATAACAGGCTCTTGGTAAATGTCATTTCTGTCTCCCTCTGTTCTCTAATAAATAGATCATAAGCTACCTGGGGACAGGACCTGTCCTGTTATTTCTAGCACACTGCCTGGCACGTTGTTGGTGTCATGCAGTATTTGTTGCATGAATGAGTGTAGTCTGGGAGGCTGATGAACAACTTCAGGAGACTCCCCTCTCCTGTCCAGTCTCTCCCATAGTAGGACCTGTTTATGTCTGAGGGGCTCCATGGGTTGGGGGCAGCCAGGAGCCCACTGGCCCAGTTGTACACTTCCTTGAGGTTTTCGACCCAATGTGAGTGAGCCACTGTCTCTGCTGTGAATCACATGTAAGCAGTGTTTGGGGGGCTGGTGGGAGTGGCAAAGAGGAGAGGGGCTGCTTACATACTCTAAGGTGAGCCCAGGGCCCCCAGTTCAGACAGGGCAGTGACTTTGCACAGCTCCCCTGTAGGCCCGGAGGGTCCCTGGGGAAGTACGTTTCAGTCCTGCTCAAGATGGCACTCCCAGGTTCCCTGCCCTTATGTGGATACTCCAGAGGCTTTAGGAACTGGGTCCAGTTTTCCTAGTTTTTCTCTCTGTGACTGGCTTATGGGACACCAAAGGCTGATTGTGTCAAATCATTTGTCTCTTGGTTAGTCACCTGCCATGGCCCTCGTAAAGGAGAATTTGGTGGGAGGGCAGGCGCAATGAGGAGTCATGACAGGGTTTTTTTTTTTTTGAGACAGAGCCTCAAGCTATCCCCCTGGGGGTAGAGTGCTATGGCGTCACTGCTCACAGCAACCTCTGACTCTTGGGCTCAAGCGAGACTCCTGCCTCCACCTCCCAAGTAGCTGGGACCACAGGCTATTTTTTGGTTGCAGCCATTATTGTTGTTTGGCGGGTCTGGGCTGGATTCGAACCTGCCACCTCAGGTGTATGTGGCTGGCGCCTTAGCCACTTGAGCCACAGGGTTTTAATTTAACCCTTGCAGATAGCTCATGGCCTTCAGAGTTTGATATTTCTTTTTCTTTTTCTTTTTTTTTTTTTAATTTTTGGAGACAGAGTCTCACTATGTCAGCCTTGGCAGCGCCGTGACGGCACAGCTCACAGCAACTTCCAACTCTTGGGCTTAAGTGATTCTCTTGCCTCAGTCTCCCAAGTAGCTGGGATTACAGGTGCTCACCACAATGCCCGGCTATTTTCTTATTGTAGTTGCCATTGTTTCGAAGGCCCGGGCTGGGCTTGAACCTGCCAGCTTTGGTGCATGTGGCTGGCACTGTAACCACTGTGCTACGGGTGCTACGGGTGCCGAGCCAGAGTCTGATATTTCTGTTCTCTGTTTTTACTGTTGTTCTGGGCACTTCTTACCTTGAAAAGAAAATAACACACAAAGCTCAGTGAGGCTCAACTACTTTCAGAATTGTTTGCATCCGTGTTAAACAGTGACTGCCACTGGGGCCTCTGGAGTGAACTGGCCTTGTTGGGGAGTTAAGGTCAGAGGGCGGGGCTGGTCCTGGGGGTGCCGGGTCTTCTCCCCGATTCCAGATGTGGTTTTGCATGTCCTGATGTCTGCCCCTAGCTGCCTGATAACAGAATATGTGATGTTTTAGAGGAGATGGTTAATACGAGATTTCCTTGCTGCCCTGTTTGGAAGGCTCTGTGCAGGGAGCTGACAGTGACAATGGACGCTCTGGGTATGTAGCACGGACCCATTTTACAGGTCACCAAGGGCTGGAGCCACAGCGTGGAGCCTGGAGGAACAGTAGCTGCTCCAGAGCCCATGGGACCATTTCTCAGACAGGGACAGGCTGTGTAAAGCAAGTGGGGAACTGGGCAGGGGTCAGTCCTGCTCCCCTAAATATCGCTGCCCTTGGGCAGGCGCATTCCTGCTGTTTTCTTCCGCGCAGTGGAGCTGAACGGTGCTTGTGCTTCCTGGCGAGCTCCGAGTGCTGGCTGCCCCCACCCCCTCTTGGCTGGCGTTGCCTGTGTTTGTTATTGTAGTTCTGGCGCTGGGCCAGGCCTGGCCGGGAGCCAGACTTGTGGGTACAGTATGTACAGTGAGTGCCGAGCCAAGTTTGTCATCATACGCGATTAATTTTTTTTCTAATCTGGTAGGGGTGGGGTGAAGGAGGAGGCAACCGAAGAGTTTCTCCCCTGCTCGAGAACGGGCCGCATCGAATTCCACGGAGATGTCATTTCTGAAAGGAGGAAAATGCACCAGCTTGTGCTGGCTTCACAGTGTTTCCTCCCTGCTCCCTTGTCCTCTCCTCTGCCTTTCTCTATCACATGAAATCAGCCTGTAGGGGACGGCAATGTGGGTCTTATTTTCAGTGACTAGAATACTAAATTTATGCTCCTAAATCAGTTTTCATTGTGTTGAAATTGACAATTTGTTTAATTAGAAGTTTGCCCTGTAGGAGGCCCTTCTGAGAGGCAGCGACTTCTCTCTTTCTCTCTCTTACTTTCTCCTTTTGTTATTTTTTTTAAGGCCCTGAATGGTGGTCGTGAATGTTCAGT